CAACCCTGGAGCCTTTACACAGTGCTAAAGATAGTGGAACACAATCTCCAAGTATTGAACTACATAGTACTGAAGATAGTGGAACACAATCTCCAAGCACTAAAAAATCTTCCAATAAATCCAAAGATCAGAACACATTCTTTTGAACCTCTAAATATACTTTCTGATTCTAACACTCGAATGGAAGAATCAAATAATACTGAGCTAAATCAAGGTGGAGAAGGTCCAATGACCATACCAACACAAAGCCATGAATCCACACCTGAGGAAAGTCTTGAAGATTTACATTCGTCAATTGCTTTGAGAAAAGGAAAAAGAAGCTGTACTAGGCGTTCTATTGCCAGGTATGTCTCATATCAGAAACTATCTCCTCATATGAAAGCTTTTGTGGAAATGCTGAAAAAGAAAGTATTCCCAAAAATTTTGATGAAGCTATATGTGACCCTAAATGGAAAGAGGCTATAGAAGAGGAATTAAGGACTTTATATAAAAACAAAACTCAGGAAATCAAAGGAAAATCGATTGAGTAGTAAATGGGTATTTACAATAAAATATAACCCAAATGGAAGCATAAATAAGTACAAGGCTCGATTAGTTGCTCAAGTTTTACTCAAACTTATGGGATTGATTATCAAGAAACTTTTGCCCCTGCGGCCAAACTTAATTATGTAAAAGTTTTATTATCCCTTGCTACTAATTTAGATTGGCCCCTTCATCAACTTGATGTTAAAAATGCTTTCCTCAATGGTGATCTTTAGGCAGAAGTACATATGGAAATTTGTTAAACATCGTTAAAAATGCCAAGCAAATGATGAAGTATTTGTTGAACACTGTGGTGAGCAAATAACAACCCTCATTGCGTATGTCGATGATATAGTTCTAACAAGTTGAAAAACAACTTAGCAATAGAGTTCAAGATCAAAGACCTTAGACCTTTAAGATACTTCTTGGGCATGGAAGTGGCAAGGACTAAAAAGGGGATTAGTGTGTCACAACGGAAATATACCATGGATTTGTTAAAAGAAACAGGAATGCTAGGAGCTAAGCCTGCTAATACTCCAATGGAGTTAAATCAAAAACTCACCATTAGGTCTGATGGAACTGCAGTGAACAAAGAGAGATACCAAAAGATGGTAGGAAAGCTGATTTACTTGTCTCATACCAAACCTGGCATCTGCTTTCCTGTTAGTGTAGTCAACCAATTCTCAAGCTGTCCTCAAAAGGAACACATGGTCACAGTTTACCAGGTACTAAGGTACCTAAAGAAGACTCCTAGATTAGGACTATTTTTTGCAAAAGGTGACATTTAAGGCATGGAATTGTTCGCAGATACTAACTAGGCTAGCTCAAAAGTAGATAAGACGATCCACTACTGGTTACTGCTCTTATGTATGGGGCAACTTGGTGACTTGGAAAAGCAAGAAACAACCTATGAAGAAGTTCTGCTAAGTTTAAATATAGGGCACTCGCCCTAGGAACCTGTGAAGGGATGTGGATTATTAGGCTCTTGTAGGAACTTAAGGTTGATTCGATTAGACCTATTACAGCATGGTATGATAATATGTCTGCAATCAAGATTGCAAATAATCTAGTGCACCACAATCGTACAAAACATGTGGAAATTGATAGACATTTCATCAGGGAAAAACTAGAAACGAAGGATATTGATTTTTCATATAAACCTTCAGGACAACAGATTGCGGATGTGATGACCAAGTCATTGACTCAGAAAAATTTGAAGCTTTTAGAAACAACTAGGAATGCTCAACATCTACTCACCAATTTGAGGGGGAGTGTTGGATATTGGCTCACATTGGGCTAAGGCTTATTATCTTAGTTTTTATTCTCTTCCAGTGTCTTTTTTTCCTTTTTTACTTATGTATTGTTATCTGTCCATTTATTAGTTTTATTCCCAGAATATTTGTGGAGAGATTTTAGGGTTTGTTTTAGGCAACTTTCTCCAATATGTACCTTTGTCTCTGACCGAATAAGATCTGATTATTCAGAAAATATTACAGAAACAATTGTTGAAGGTAATGAAAATTAGGATGACCTATCCTCTTATGCCATAACATAAAATTATTAATGTTAGAGGTAGACACAGAATTACCAACAATAAGTGAGGTACCCACTCGAGTGACAACCTCTAAATAATAGAGCCCCCCGTACTCCTTAGCACTGCTGATTATCATACTACATGATAGATCCTGAAGCACACAATGGGACAGGAGAAATTTAGCAAAATAATTTGACTACTTAGTCAATGGACTAATTGAAAGTAAATTGCAATCAAGTTTTAGCACATGGAGAATAGATTCCAAAACAATATAATCTCACATACAAATATAGTCATGAATAAGAGCCGAGCCTCGCGGCTGCCCATTTAAGCTCATTTTTATAAAAGTTCGAGCTTTAAAAAATGTCATTTTTTAGGAAAACTAGGCTTTGAAGCCCAGCCCTAATAGGCCCTAAAAAAAAGGGCTCAGACTCAGTAGCCTTTTTTCATTTTAACTCTAAAAAAATAAAATATTTTTATTTTTTAAATTGAATTTAAACTTTTGAAATATGTTTATACTTTAAAATTTAATTTTTTATTATTTATTTTTAATTTTCTAATTTTATAATTTGTATTTTAAAAAAAATGAAATGTTATAATTGAAATTTTTAATTTTTTTAAAAAATCCAAAAAATAAAAAAATAATAAAGGGCTTATGAGCCCGACCCTAAGCCTTTTGAATAAGGGCCAAGTTTCAAAAATAAAACAATTTTTGGGACATCGGGCTTCAGGACCTAGCCTTTGCGAGCTCAAGCCTATCCGTTTCTAAAGTCAAGAACAAGAGTCAGGCTTGGAGGCCCAATTTAGATATAACACAATATTGACAATTTTTTATTAATTTCTTAAACACGATTATTGTAAGGTCTATTTCTTTTTGATTAATGTTGTAGTCTATAATACACAAGTTTTTATATTTATCGAACTTGATAAGGTTGATCTAGATTGTAAATTTCGATCTTCATTTTAAAACTTCATTAAAACTCTATATCTTTATTTGTATTTAGTTATTTTTTAAATTTTTTTAAAAATAAAAAAGGCTTACGAGCCCGATCCTGAGCGTTTCAAATAAGGGTCGAGCTTTAAAAATTAATCATTTTTTAGGAAACAGGCTCAAGGGCCTAAGCCCTTAAAGGCCGGGCTCGCCCATTTTCCCACCTCTATATACAAATACTCCCTTTCCCTACCACAAGTGCTAAGGAGCCGTCTACAATTTTCACTTCTAACATTTTCAGCACACAGGGTGCAAGTGGTGAACAATTAATGACAATTAGTCATACAGTCAAATGCCTCGAAATCCACAATCCACACCACCACACTTTGAGTTGTCTTTACAGCCTAAAGGAAGGAACCCCTTTTTGCCACCAATGTTATAGGTGCAGATTTGGAAAAATTAGTCACGACACTACAAAGAAGCATACATAGCACTTCACTTCATGATAGACTTAGAACAGAAGCCACAATCCAATATAACTCTAAAACATAGCAAAACAAGGCACTAACAACACCATATAGACTGATATGGTTTGAAAAACGATGTACCCATGCACCAGATTGTCCTAGATTTGGTCAGAGAGTGCGCGTCGTCATCATCCGATAAGATCGTGTCCTGAACAGAGCTAACACACGCCACCACAGGCCACCAAAAGCTTGCTAACGCAATTTGCAACGATGGCGCATATAGGCCGCATGCGCCACCGTTTGCTGTCACTATCGTAGGTTTCACCATTCGGAGCCTCCTAAGTACACCTAGGGTGGTAGTAGGAGTCTAAACTTGTTCGATCATTGTCCACACAAACGCCCTCACGTACTGTTCAGAAAATCTCATTCCAACCATTCCAAAACTAACCTAATTTGAATTTTTGAGCCTGATGCTCTGATACCATGTGGTATTTTGAGAGAGGAAAAATGCATTTCTCATTAATGTAAATTCTAGTGCACAAACTGATGCTGTACATACACATAAAGTGAGATAAAACCTAATAAATACTAATAAAGCCTAATAAATGCTAATTATTTACAATAATGACATAATATTCCCACATTCCTAAATACATGTTTTTTGCAAATGAGATAGTTCTGATTGTGGAGACAAGAAAAAAGATTAACTATAAACTTGATTATGGAGAAGGACATTTGAAGCAACAGGTTTCTATCTAAATACGAGTAAAACAAAATAGTTGCATTATAATTTTGATAAGAGATCAGTTAGTAGTAATTTGGAAGTGAAATTGGGAGATCAAATTATGTCTCAAATGGAAAAATTTAGATACTTAGGAGCTATTATTTAACATGATAGGAAAATTAATAGGGATATTGCACATTAGATACAAGCTAGATGGTTTAATTAAAGAAAAGTTAAAGGAGTTATTTGTCATTGTAAGGTACCTAATAAATTTAAAAGGAAAATTTTATCAAACTGCTATAAGACCAATTATACTATATAGCAATAAATGTTAGGCTTTAATGGGACAACAAGAGCATAAAGTTAAAATGGCAGATATGAGAATGTTGAGATGAATTAGCGGGCATACATGTAAAGATAAAATCTAAAATTAAAAAGTGGGAGTAGCACCTATTGAGGAGAAAATGGTAAGAAATCATTTAAGATGATTTGGACATGTATAAAAAAAAATTGTGGAAGGCACCAGTGAGGAGAGTGGAACGGATAATTTTGAGTCCTATTAAGAAGGTAGAGGAAGGCCAAAAAGAACACTTGTAAAAGCTGCTGACCGAGGTCTCTTAATTAACGTTTCTAAAAACTTGATAAATGATAGAGCACAATGACATCGTACAATCTATATAACCAACCCCACCTAGTGGGATAAGACTTCTTATTGTCGTTGTTGTTGTATTTGCCTTAGCAAAGAAGGAGCCTTTACCAAGTATTAATCAGCATCACATGCCCAGAATTAGTTCAAACATTACTAGGATATAGGAAACTTACATATTCACCACCACCAATAACAACATCACGAACACTCTCTCTGATTGTCATTCCACTCCTGACATTAGCATCAGGATTAGGAAGGCGCAGCTTAGTTGGGCGCTCACTGTCCCTAATCTCATCAGGATCAAGAGGACAGTCAGCAGAGTAATCTCCAAGGACTGAAACACTTCCAGGAAAGTGATCTCCCATTAGCTCATAAGGCTTTGCTGGAAACACATACAGGTGAACTATGGAAGCAATGCCCATCTGCGCTGGATGAATAAAAAGAGCTGTCAAACTTTACTTTTCCCCTTATCTGGAGCAGTCATAGAAATACATGATGTCATGGAGATAGGAAAGATGAAGATGCTTCAGAGTGCAAAAAGATTCAGCTGTGAATTCAAGAAAGTGTGGAAAAACCAGAGAACTTGAATATTTGATAAGCACATGAAAAATACTGCATCAGAGCACTTAAGAAATAAGAAAATATGAAATCCTGAACCTTCTAGCACATTCATTCCACAGCCATGGGCAGTCTGATAATCTAAGATCAATAGAAGGACCTGGTGTTATCAGCATTAGTATCTTTAAATTTAGGTTCATGAAAAAAAAAAAATCTTGTTCCATAAAAACAATATAATATAAATTCTTGGTCACAATATACTGATGTAATGTATGCCTCTATAGACATGAAACTGAACAATTAGCAACAAATCAACATTAACCATCAAGAGAGCTTTATTTACAACTCATTTTGCACACCTATACATGATCTGCAACCCTGGGCAAGGGGAGGAAGGTGTTTAAGCCAATTAAAGCCAACTTCCAAATAACAAACAGCCACCAGTAAATCAAAACAGAACAACATTTTAAATAGATATCCAATTACAGCCTCCCAACTAATTACCCATGCCGGTGCTCAAGATAACTCCAGTGAAGGATATCTACCTCAATGCAAATGATGAAATCTTGGACACTAGACTTCAACTGAAAGCCTTGTGCTATAGGACTTCTGAACAAACCCAAGGCATAGAGGAGAGCAATTGCCACCCCTTGCCACCAAGTGAGGAACACAATAGATTTAAACGTCAAAAATTTAGCCAATGGCTTTATATGTGCCAATTCATCCTTTGTAGCAGCATAAAATTGAACAAGACAGTATAATGCCCATGACTGACTGAAGTTCAGAACCACTGCCAAATAAGGGTACCTACAAAAGAAGCAAAAAGTTCATGCAGTTAACACAACTGCAGATTTCGTTTACCCAGCGTTATAACAGCATGCTGGCACAAACTTAGCCTGTGAAGACATGAATATTTTCCTTTAAAAAAAAGCCCAGAATGATTGCATAATTAACATCCCTCCAAGAAAGTGATTCACAAGAGTATCAATGACAATCAGATGCAAACACAATCAACAAAATGTCATACAAAAAGGTGTAGTTTGAAATCTCCTAGTGCTGAAATATTTCTATATGTTAAACGTTCCAAACTACTCTTTATGAGGGTAATCTCAGGTAAACAGGCTAAATATAGCCAAACAGTTTCCAGCTACACATTTGGTATGCCACACCTAGGATTTTCAGCCACATTTCCCCTAGGTTACCTAACAACACAGCATTCCAAAGTTCTAAATATTTCTCAATAAAAAAAACTTTAATTTATCTCTCTTTTTCCTATAATTTCACATGCTCTTTTCTCTTTTAAGTGAAATTCAAGTTGTTCTGGTAACTTCCTTCTGTCCTTGTGAATAAAATTAATGGACTCTGAAGATCTTGACCCTGACAGTGAGATTTTATATACAATATACATGTTATATCAAGAAAAGCTAGAACTTATTAAATGCAAGAGACCACCTGAGATAATCCCTTCACGTTAGAATAGAAAGACAAAAGTTATTTGCAATGCAGATTATCAAGATAATTGGAACACAAAGAGGAATGTAAAACACAAGGCGGCCATTAATTATGACAACCAAATAGTGAGGGTGAATTCAAGGTGAACTAAAAGGAATCTACCTTCTAAGCAGTCAAAATCCATACATAAGGAAAAATTTAAGTTAAAAGGAATATACATGAAAAGAGTAAATAGACAAGTTCTTTGATTTACATAAACAACAAACACAGAAAACAATACGGATGAAGAGCTACTTCAACATGTTCATATAATTTGATGAACTGAACTAATCTCATTCCAGCCAATCAGAATTTTCTTACCCACATCCCCATTTAAAATCTCCTTCACAGTAAACTCCAAAGGCTTCAAGGATTACTGCAATAATAGCGCTCAGAGATTTTATTATCATCTGTAAGGGAAAGCAAACATTTTGGAGGAGTTAATATAAAACAAAATATTTACAGGAAAAATGACCAAAGAATAGATTATCCAAGTAACAGAAGCATACATATTGAACAATTCCAAATTTCACAATTTGATAAAACCACCGACCAAGTTTCCAGGGTTTAAGGAAGTAGTTCAAAGGAAATGGATGCTTTATAGTTCCCTTCTCAGAGCTATGCTCTAATAGAGGCATTTTTGAACTGGCACGGCCTTCTCTTTCCATAAATTCAATGGTCCTCTCCTCCCCACCTAGAAGATACATATACATTAAAACATGGGGGGTGGTGGTTAATATCCGTGTAAAGGTGTGGGAGCAGCTACATGTCTGACTCAATTACTCAGGAACGTCAGTTTATATTTTAAAATATAAATGTTACAAATTATTGAAAAGAATCATCAAATCAAATAACTATATATTCTGTAATGCCTACAAAAGTATCAGGAAAAAAAAAAACTGCGTAAACACAACGTAACATATGGTTCAATGACATGGAAAACCTCCAGCTCACCCTTCACTCAAAGAGACATTAGCACAACTTTCTCCCATGCTCCCCATTTTTGGGGCCAGATGCAAGTTGTGCGTCACAAATATAAGCATATTAAAAATCATAAAATTACTAAAATGACATAAACAAACAACTTAGATTTCCAAGATACCATAAAACAAGTTGATAAGTATATTTTATCCATTTAAATAGATATGATTTTGATATGATCCTGATGTGATTTTGATAATAAAATTAATATATTTTATTATAGATATTTAGTTGATTTTATATATTATCCTTTTCATATTTATTTGCAGGAAATCAGGATTTCGAGGCCCATTTAATGCTTGTAAAGCTAGGATTCTCCTATATCTATAAATAGGGATTAGCAGGGATCATCTCTACGCATTCAATCACTTTCCCTAATACATCTGAAAGCTCGTCTGAGCTGCTTGAAGTCAGTTGAAGCATCCTAGGAACAGAGAACGCCCTTACTGGGGAGTTTTGAAGATGAATTCTATTCTTTTTCTCTACTCTTTAATTTCTTCTTATCTGTTCTCTATGATTGAGATTTGTAGAACTATGTCTATCATTATATTCAATTTTGAGTTTCTAAATCTCTTAATAGGGGGTAAGCATGGAGGCTAACTAGGAACACTAGATTTATCCTTTGGTTTGACTCTTTTTGATAGTCATGTTATTAAGTTTCCTTTTTTTAATTATATTTATTTCTTTTGTGCTTCACATTGATTTTATAACTAGCCTACCAATTAATCAAATTTATAGGTGATCTTGATGGATTCGGGGGTCTTAGATCTAGAGAAATATACAAATAACTAAGTTAGGGATAGCTTGAGGAACTTGTGCTGACCTATGCTGTAACTTCATGGTTTAATAAGCTGTATGGATATTGCATGAGTGAATTCAACACTAATTAAAAAGGGATCAATTAATTGGAAGGTAATTTGGACGCTTTAGAACAATTGTCCCTACAAATATAAAGAGTGAATCCATGAGATAGAGTCTAGCGACCATGTAAGGTGAACCCTAATCCTCCAGCACTTAAAGTGATTAAATCATCTTAAATCAATTATGATTTGCTCTTTTTATTTTAACTTTTAATCAACATTTTATTTCTCTTTTGACTATAAATTAATTGGACTAATGAAAAGATACGTACCTTGGGTAAGACACTTGAATACTCTAGGTATATTACTACTACAATCTCATACACTTGCAAGCTCAATCACAAGCTAAAATCATAAAATGTTGAGATTCTCAATTACTAATAAATATGTAGAGATATTAAAATTAGAAAAAATAATAATAAGTACAATCAAACATTCAGAATAAGAAATCTGTTTTTTTATTAAAAGTAATCCATTAAAATTAAAAGGGGATAAAAGCTAGATTATTAATTAATGTAAAAGACAATGACATGGAGGGAGGAAAGAATTTAGTTCTAAAATTCTAGTTAAAGCAATATTAATATTCTTGAATTAAATTATGTGATAAGTACAAGCTACTACAACAGCGTACCCAGACAAGCAACAAGGTATCTTCCAAAGCAATACATGGCAAAAGATTCATAGCAATCCCGCAGTATCGCACAGTCAACACTGATTGATGGATCCACCAATGATACAAACTGCTAATATCAACTTCAGTTAGAAGCATTCAAAACAGAGTAGTTTATGCGTTAAGCATAAAACAAATGGGGAAAACTAGGAGGGGTTTCAAATTTAACAAATAGACTACAACAATGGAACCCAGGATCCATGGTTATATACTGAAATTTGTATCTTCTTGTCAACTGGTCCTTTCAAAAATACTATATTGCTACAGCATCTTCTAATGTTAATTCACATAACTCACTGATTCTACTGCATAGCACGGAACCATTAGGATGACTCCAATCAAAAATTTTTGCTCCTAAAAAGGGAAGGAAAAAGAATTGTTAATAATGTAATAAAAGAACGCATGCTTCGAAAACAACAATTTAGCAGTTAAACATTGGAGGAGGAGAACCTCAGGATTCTTGTATGCAGAAAGGTGCTCAAACAGGAGATACATTGACAGAGTAAGAGTAATGATGACAAAGGCACCAGCAATTATCACTGCCCATGTAGGAGGAGAGTAGGCCAATTGGATAAATACGTTGAGATGACCTAATGTCTTCATCAGATGGGGAGATTTCATATGCAATGAGCATAATTGAATTATAAATTCATAAGAAATTGCATTTGGCCACTGAAGTAGAACACTGCCAAAGGTATTTCCTGTTTACATCAAGTATACAAGATGAGACATTATCTAAGGATAATAGGCCTCACAAACAAACAATTTCAGCAGAATACAAATGGAATATGATTAATTAAAAAATTGGAGAAGTTGATGCCTGTGATATGTAAAACACCAACAGATAACCAATAATAGCAATGGGCATCCTCTGATTTAGTTGAACAAGAAACATCAAAGACTCACAAAGAAATTACTTTAGAAGTGCACACACCATCGCCCTCTATTTTCTTCAATAAAATGCAAAATAATTCAAATGCCTTTCTAATCCGTCATAGATTCGTCAAGAACTTACTTCGAACTTTACCGGGATTACAAAAACATAAAGCTTTCTGATAATGTATACAAAAAAAAGAACATGCACCATATAGGTCTATCCATGACGGAACCGAACACCTGAACTTGAGCTTGGTTTAAAGTAAGAAATTTCAACAACTTGAGCACAGTAAACCAAAATAATAAATTGCGCCAAAAAATTAAACTCAAAGCAATATGAACAGAACAGATTGCTGGCCAAATATATACAGTATGTATTAATGAACGTGAACAGAACAGGCCAAAAAAATGAAAATCTCAATATGCCTGACATCCATATAGGCGTTCAGACCCTGGATGGTACAAGGAAGCAATCAAATGTGGTAAAGGCTAGAGTAAGTGCTGCCACAACCTAACAGAAAACCGACTAAATTAAGTAAGGGTGAGCTAAAGTGGGTTTAGAAACAAATCGGACAGTCATACTATTAAGATCGTCTTCGGCGACAAAGAAACGGTTGACAAAAGGATTTCCTTCTCCACAACACTTGGTGTCCGATGACCAAGCCTGGCAATCCCCTCTTCTCGTAGGCTCGTACTCTCTCTCTCTCTCTCTCTCTCTGCGCGAGCGTATCTGCCGATGGAAATTTTTTAGCCGAATCTGTCAATGGAATTATTCCGATGGAGAATAATAATAATAATAATAATTATTATAACAGGGTTAAATGGATTTTCCACCCTAATTATCCGCTAAGAGGTATCTATATTCTGGACTTTTTTTTTAGCATAATTTTACCCTTTAATATTTAAAAATAAATTATTAAATCATTATTAATGATTTCAAACACCTCTATTGACCTTTATTAATACTATTTTTTAAATATTAGTGGCACCCATTAACTAAAAACTTATAAAGCCATTGATGCTATATTTAAATAAACTCAACAATTTTCACTAATTTTATTTAAGTCAATGGATATAAACTCATAATCATCATGGATTGAAAATCATCATCTTAACATAAACCTAATTTAAATCTCCAAGAAAATGGAAAAGAGAGGAAGAAGAAAGCTTGATACACTTACCGTAAGTGTTATTTAACTTTAATTTGCTTCCAAATCTTCAATGTAGTAAGCCATAGCAGAGCTTGCATGCCTTCTTCATTTACTCTTTGGTTTCTTTCTATTTTTTAAACCAATCAATGCTTTTTTCACCATAAGAATTTGACTATGTGCCGTGGTGCACGCAACACGTGCAATAGCATATCGCACAAAGAGATCCTCCCTTTACCTATTGTCACATGTGCAAACGGTAGAGGTTATGCATGCCACGACATACGGCACGATCCCATAATCTTCTGATTTTCTCACTCTTTGATGTTTGGGTGACCTGACTTCACTTCAAACCCGAATTTAAGACTGAAATCACAACCAAAAACGCTCATTAGATCTCTCCGAACATACACCGCATCAATCTATTTAATTACCCTACTTAGGCTTAGTTAATCACAGTTAATTCCCCAAGATGTTACAAGGAGCACTAAAGGCGTAATTTGATGTATGAGACACCATCTATTAGTATAACCTCTTTAATTTGAATATGCAATGTATATATATTGCCAACCTAGGATAATTGTTATTTTGACGAGCTTATAGACTCTATTAATGATCAAATTGCATACTTATTTGCCAAGAAGATTCTATTTGTCCCTCTTGGTCGTTGATTTGATTAGTGAAGCTTAATCGTGAGAATTATGTCTATCCCTTATAGTTTATTTACTTATTTTGATACTGATGAAGTGTTTAAGTGTTGAAAACACTACAAGATAGCATGTCTTGTGATTGAAAGTATTATTAATTACAATTGAATTGTGGACTTTGATTAGATAATAGGGTGGATTGAGAAGAGCATTGTTTGAGCCCAATGGGACATTACTATTTAGATATGTGGTTTGGGAAAAATATGTTTATCCAATCAAAGTCAAATGTCTTTTTTCATGGATGTACTCATGCATTTTTGGAAATCCTTATGGGTAGTGACTATTATTTGGATTATGCTGCCTTGGGAACCATGCTTCTATATTTGTTGTGATTTTAAAATAATTATTAGATTTCAAATATTAGTTGTTAAATGGGATTCCTTGATGCAAATGGTTTCAAATTGTCTTCCAATAGGTATAATTTATCATAACTATTATTTTAATTACCATGGTAAAGTTTATTTATTATTTTAAATTCTTTCTATCATAATAAATCTTCTCTACTGTGGTAGGTTATTTGTGAATTCATTTATTTATATGACAAACTCTTTTCAACCATGGTAAGATTTTTAAAAAGGGAGTTTTATTCTTTAATTACCATGGTAGTCTTTTTTCTGCCATGGTAAGTATTTAATACTATTAAATTGGTTTGATAACTTATTAGCTTATGAAAAATAAGTTTAAAAATTTTAGAATGTTACACCAAACAATATAGGTTATATATCCTTCTACCATCTAGTCACAGGTGCTATAGTTTATCATCACATACCATTAACACGTGTTGATAAAAAGACAAAACATATCGACAGAATGATCCATCTCAACTAGAATACACGTACATATATAATAATATGGATATTGGATGTATTAGTAGTTAGAAGTGTCCAATCCATACTCCAATATCTATATTAAAGATAGATAATAATATTATATCTAAGTATTCATATAGATATGTGAATAAGAATAAAGAGAAATAAAGCTTCTAATTATCTCTACTCTTCACATCAGAAGGGAAACCACAATGTACCAAATCAAGCTTTAAATTAGTATTGATATCCATAGATAGAGAACCTCAACCAACAAGCCCAAATATTGCATGTTAACCTCCTTGCAACCAATTATTAGATCTTTAGTGTTATTTATTTTTCACAATGACAAATCTCAAGTTTAAATTGGAAAACTAAATCAATTCCAAATCTAATAAAATTTTAGACATAATATCTTTACCATTCAAACTTCCTAGCCAAATCAATAATTAAGCCAAAACATAGATAGATTGTTCAAATAAAAAATTCTTAAAAATTTAAATTTAATAACCCAATAATATAAAACTCCACATATCATCCATTTCAACTATAGATTTAAGTATCAACAAGTATGTTTAGGCTAAATCAAGTCATTAAACAAGTCCACAATCAACAATTTGTCCAAAAATTCAAAATCTCCTTTTTCAATAACTTAGGGTTTGTTTAAAGTCTATAAATCTCAAAATCCAGCATTTAAGATCTTTAGCAAAGCTAAGGAAAACGTAGACTTACCTTTAGGAGTCAAGATACTCCTTTAATCTACCAAAAATCCAAACTTGTAACATCCTACAAAATTAGCCCTTAATTAGTGAGTTAAATTGAGGATAATTAAGTCAATAAACATAGTGTGTGGTTACAGAGAGCTAATAGATATGTCAAGTTGTTATCTCAGTCCTAGGATTGAGTCCGAAGTAGAGTTAGGTCTCTTGGACCTTGAAATGGGAGAAAAACAAGGAGGAATAGCTCTATACAACATGCCACGATACATACACGAGATGATACAGTACACAGGCCACTAGAACACGAATCAACCCTCTTTGTACCAATATGTACTATGGCACATAGATGAAATTTTATAGAAATAAGTCTACATCAAAGTTCAAAAGACAAAGAAAGGAAAGGAGCAAAATGGAGAAAATATGAGTAGCTCTGCTACGGCACAAATTGGGTCACCACGGAGGAGGTATTTGAAGATTTTAAACACTAGAGATAAGTTTTCTAAGTGTTTATCCTTCTTCTTATTTTATTTTCTTAATATTGGGAGTTAAGATATGTTTGAGAAAGATAATTTTCTATCCATAAAGGCTATAAGTTTGAACTCATTAATTTAAATAGAGTAAATGAAAGTTGTTTAGGTTATTTAAACCTAACATTTATGGCTTTACTCATTTTTAGTGGTTGTGAGCCATTAATATTCACAATAAATGTGGTAGTTGGAAGAATGTAAAGCTATTGATAGCTAGCTGGGATTCAATAAAGTTAATGTTGTTAGAAATTGTGCCCTATAGCCAATTATTATACTATGCACATTGTTATTTAATGAATTTCTCTTTTGTTATCATAACAATTGCATGTTCAATATAATAACTGTATCCCTGGACAAATTATAGTAATTGTTCTAAATGTCCCTAGTCGGTTATCTTTGAGGGATCATAGATGAAATAAGACTAGTGTGACTTTGATTAATTATAGAGATACAAATTAAAATCATAAGCACTTAAAAGAGCACAAGGTGCTAAACCGATCCACTATGAGAAAGCTGCATGGTACAAGTCATAAGTTTATCTCATATGTAACTATATCACTAAGCGCTTTGACTTGAGATCATCATAGATTCCTACATGATAACTACTGAACTTTAACTTAGTCAAAAATCACCTTTGACTGGGTGATCATAAGGACTATGATTGAGTTTCGTGATATTCATACAAAAGAATATGAGTGGTCAAGATGGAATTTGTCTTCCACATTAAGTGAAAGATATTACTGGACCCCTCGATAAGTAAGACTGAGAAAATGTATGGCCACACTATAATGAAAAGGGTTTTTCCATTGCTGCTGTCAGTCTACTCAGAGATCAAGAAAGTAACGGTCAGGTAAAGGAAAATGACAATTCCATGTCTCATACTTGACCGAAATATCACGTGACAAAAGAAATGTGATATGGTTGCATGATAGATTATATTAGATCATCAATCCCTATGTGAATTGGGTAGTTGCAATGTCTTACTAGAGGCCACTTGTGACTTGTGGGCTAATAGTGTAATTAGCCTACTGCCAATTTCATATAGGCCTACAAAGTCACACACAAGAACAGCTCAACTCGAACTATAATGTTCGAGTTTGTTGAATCTGAAATATGTCTAGATTCAATGAATGTAATATAGGGTGAATGAATTATATATATATATATATATATTTAAATATATATTTGATGAATATTTATATATATATTTATATAAAATATAAAATTCAAAATATAATTTTATATATATATATATATATGAAATATATATATTTATATATGTGTATATATATATGATATATGTATATGATATATAAAATTAAATAAAGATAATATAATATAATATATATATATATATATTTTTTCAAAATATATGTAAATATATATATTCGTCTATGTGTGTGTGTGTGTATATAAAATATAATATGTATATGTGATATATATTATATTATATTATATTATATTATATTATATTATATTATATTATATTATATTATATTATATTAGTTTTAAATTTAATTTTATATGATAGATTAAATTTAATAACTAATATGATATGAGAAAATATCATGTCAGTTTTATAATTTAAATTTATAAGATAAATTTGAATTAGATATGATATTATGGATTAAATTTATGAAATAAATTTAATTATATTTGTGTATGTATGTATATATATATATATATATATATAATATAATATGTGTGTGTGTGTGTGTGTGTGTGATATTTTAAATTTAATTTTATGTGATAGATTAAATTTAATAACTAACATGATATGAAAAAATATCATGTCAGTTTTATAATTTAGATTTATAAGATAAGTTTAAATTAGATATGATATTATGGAT